CCTGTCAGCCGCACGGCTGGCTGCGCCTCTGCGGCTGTGGCGCGCCCGGCTGAGGGCAGGGGAGCGCTCCGGGGCCCAAGGCTGCGCCCTCCGCGGTCTTCCTGCACCTTCTCCCCAACAGGGCCGAAACCGGGCTGCGTAGCTGGACTCCCGCGCCAGCTGCTGCGCCCGCTGAGGCTCCAGTGGTCGCGGTCCCAGAGCCAGCGAACAGGAGCCTCCCGCCGTACTCTCGCGAGAACAGCTCCCGGGACTCTCCGCGAGCCGAGATTTTACCCAATATGGAACCTCTTCGCGGGAGGGGTTTCGTGAGGGGTAAGGACGGGAAGAGAGTTCTCGCGAGAAGAAAGCAACTGGAGCCCGAAGGCTGAAACTCCCAGGCTCTGTTCTCCTTCAGGGCGCGAAGGCGGACCAGGGAAGGAAGAGATACACTGGCGACACACGCCGCGCGCGCCCCACCGTGGTCGGCGGGATGAATGCCTGACTCCATGGGGGAAAGCGACAGCGACAAAATAGGGCGTCGGGAAGAGAGCCAAAAGATCTCTGAACTGCGAGTAGTCAGTCACCAGCAGCCGAGCACCTGCTCAGAGGAACTCCCAATTTCCAAAAACCCCTTGCATAAAAAAGAGGCTCCGGCCAGATGGTTGCTGCATCCCCATCTGCTTAAGGACATAGGGCTTCCTCTTTGAGACAAACCTGTCCCAAAAGGCAGGGTTAACTGCACCAAAGCTGAGCTTTTCCACCCAAACCCAAACTCCCCTAGGGATGCTTCAACTTTTATGTGCAGAAGAATCACAGGAGTACGTTTCAAGGCATATTCCCAGGACCCTCAGGGAGTCTAGTTGGATAGGTCAGAGGCAGGCATGAAGAGTGTGTTTTTATCATACATCCCAAATGGTTCTGATTCAGGAAAATCTCTGATATCTCCCTTTGAGAAGCCTTTTAAAAACTGAAAGTTTAAAACTGACTCCTGCCCTGAAGAGCCATCAGGGAAGAAGATTTTAAGTGTTGAATGCATGCCTCTCTCCGTGAGAATAGGGAAGGGAGTGGTCTTCTGGCAGTGTCACTTTTAGGCAAGTAACCTTTCTTAGACCCTAGTTCCAGCTTCTGCAAGAGAATTCCTGTCTCACATCCTCAGCTAATAGAGTCATTTGTCAAAAACTGAACATGATATTACATGTAAGTGGGCAAGGTATTATAACTCCATGCCTACACCCATCATCAATCTATGCCTATGCTAAAGCTTGGCACAAAGAGCAGAAGAATCTAATTCTACCTTACACTCCTAGTTATTGCTAACAGAAATAACTAGGTCCGAGCCAGGACACTTCTCATCACTTCCCATGGTTATTTACTTTTGTGTTATGCAACCCCCTGGAGGGCTCAGACTTTGCCTATCTTGCCCCAGCATCTAGCACAGTGTCTAGAATATAAAACATAACCCATAAATATTTGTTGAAAAAAGTGAAAAATGACCTTGATCTCAATTTAAGAGATGGTACAGGATTCTCAGTTCTCCTCAAGGAAAACAGCACAACCAAAAAAACAGGGTCACAGATGTTTCATGGAGAGCTGTTTTGGATTCAAAGTGACTTTGTCTGAATTCTCGTATCTACATGACACCAGAGAATATTCCAAGTCAACCTGTAGGTTAGGGAGCTTCCTAAAAAATAATAGAGGGGAGCCTGGCGTGGTGGCTCATGCTTTGTAATTCCAGCACTTTGAGAGGCAGAGTCGAGAGGATTGTCTGAGCCCACAGATTTGAGACCAGCCTGGGCAACTTTTTGAGATCTCATCTCTACAATAAATCAAAAAATTAAGCCGGGCTCGGTGGCTCAGCCTGTAATCCCAAGCCTTTGGGAGGCTGAGGTGAGTGGATTGCCTGAGCCCGAGGGTTCGAGACCCGCCTGGTCAGTGAGACCTCATCTCTACAATAAATAAAAAAAATCAGCCGGGCGTGGTAGCACATGCCTGTAATTCCGGCTACTCAGAAGGCTGAGGCGGAAGGATCGCCAGAGCCCAGCAGATCGAGGCTGTGGTGGCTGGAAGCGGCCACTGCATCCCAGTCTGGGTGACAGAGTGAGACTCCAACTCAGAAAAAAAAAAAAAAAAAATTAGCTGGGTGTGGTGGTACATGCCTGTAGTTCTAAGTACTTGGAAGGCTGAGATGGAAGGATCGCCTGAGCCCAGCAGATTGAGGCTGCGGTGGCCATGAGCATGGATGCCAGTGCACTCCAACCTGGGTGACAGAGTGAGATTCCAAATAATAATAATGAGGGAAGGAGGAAGTGAGAGCAAAAACATGACTGTGGAGAAATCAGGGGTGGGAGTAGGGAGTCAAGGGAATGAGTGAATGGATATAGAGGTGAGGAGAAAGCCTGGAAATAGGAATCCTAAGAAATGCACATATTTTCCCCAAAATTGGGATAATGAGGTGAGGGTGAATGAAAGAGTAAAGATGAAGTAAGCAGTACATTCCTTCACTCATTCAACCAATATGTATTAGGTGACCGACTGATAAAAAGGTGATTAGAACCACAATTCCTGCTTGCCTGGAGCTTACAATCAATAGGAAGGAACAACACAAATGTATGGAACATTCCCTCTGTCTACCACACTGTTCTAGGCACTGAAGATACAACAGTTAATGACACAGGTAAACATCTTGGCTCTCATGGGGGGGTGGTGAGACAATTTACAAACAGGAATATATAAAATGACTAATAAGTTAAGACATTAATACAGCAACCAAACAACTGGGCCGAGCAGGAATGCAAGGTGTAGTGGGAGACAGTGATAGCGACTGAGGTCTTCCGGAGAAGGATAAAGGGGATAGGGATACAGAGGTTATGTTTGTGGGTGCAGAGCAGGAGGCCTGAGCAGGAGGATGTCAGTGGGAGAACCAGGCTTGTGGAGCAGAGAGTCCAGGGTTGGAGACCTGGGTGACCCTCTTGGCCTCCGCTTCGTTGCCTTTTTCTGACCTGCCAGAGTCGCAGGAGACAAGTGAATCACTGCATGCTTGGGGCCGGGCACAAGGCCAGGAGCACACAGGACTTCCGTCAAGGGTAGTCACACTTCGGGGAGGGCAGGCGCCGTGGAGGCGCACCCACCGAGGTGTGCCGAGGGGCTCCTGCGGCCCAGGTGAGGCGGGACGGCCCCGGACCCCTGTACCCGCTCCCCAGCCCAGCTGCTCGTGCTCCCCTTCCCGGCTTCCCCGCCTCTAGCTGCCCCACGAGCCCCTAACGCCCGCGGGGGCGGCCGCAACGGCTCGGACACCGCCGGCATCCAAGTTGGCAGCGCCGCCAGCCGGGCCAGGGCAGTGTGGGACCCCGGCACCAGCACTCCGGTCCCATGGGGACACCAGGTGAGTCGCTGCCAGGGGACACCAGGGAGCCGGGGCTGCGGGGCGGGAGCTGCACCTGTCACCCACCAGGGACCAGGCACGTCGCAAGCGCTCGGTGTTTGTGGAGTGAATGAATGACTTAGTTCTTGGGAGCTTATGTCTCGGCTTTTGTCTCTACCTTTAAAGGTCGTGGGCAGTGGCAGAGGCAAGAGGCAAGAGACAGCGTGTGCGTTTTGCAAGCTGCATTCTTTTCTTTTCTATTTTTTGAGTTGGAGTCTCACTCTGTCGCCCAGACTGGAATGCAGTGGCCGCTCCCGGCCACCGCAGCCTCGACCTGCTGGGCTCCGGCGATCCTTCCGCCTCAGCCTTCCGCGTAGCTGGAACGACAGGCGCGCACCCGGCTAATTCGTTTTTTGTTTTTTAATTTATTGTAGAGATAAAGTCTCGCCAATTGTCCCGGGTGGGTCTCGAATCCGCGGGCTCTGGCAATCCGCTCGCCTTGGCCTCCCAAAGTGTTGGGATTACAGGCTGAGCCACCAACGCTGGCTTGCAAGCTGTGTTCTTTCAAAGGCGCTTGTTAAAAGTCCCAGAAGTGACAGGAACCCCACTGCTTACCCCGTCTACCTCCTCCTGAGGCCTGATTACCCAGCTGCTCCTGCCCTTT